AATTAATTTCTTTCTATTTTTAGTAGAAACTGGGTCTCGCTCTTGCTCACGGCTGGTTTCAAACTCCTGACCTTGACCATCCTCCCAGGTTTGGCCTCCCAGAGTGCTAGGATTACAGGCGTTAACCACCATGCCTGGCCACCTCTAAATATTTCAACATTGCAGTTAGGCCAGGCATAGTAGCGTTCACACCTGTAATCCTTAGCACTCTGGGAGGCCAGGCTGGGAGGATTGCTTGAGCTTAGAATTTGAGGACCAGCCTGAGCAAGAGTGAGACCCCGTCCCTACTAAAAATAGAAAAATTAGCTAGGCGTTGTGGTAGGCACTGTAGTCCCAGCTGGCTCACTTGGGAGGTTTAAGCAAGAGGACTCATTAGCCCAGGAGTATTGAGGTTGCAGTGAGCTATAAAGATGCCACTGCACTCTACCCAGAGTGACAGAGAGAGATCTGCTCAAAAAACAACCCCACTCCCCAAACTCATGCATATCCTAAGAATGATCACATTCTGCTATGTTAAGAAAAAATGTTATTGTCATACATAACGTAACATTAATTCAGGCTGAGTATGATAGCTAAAGCCTATAATCCCGAGGCAACTTTGGGAGGCTGAGGCAGGGAGGATTTCACTTAGAGGTCAGGAGTTTGAGGCTATAGTGAGCTATGGATTTGGTGCCACTGCACTTCCAGCCTGGGTAACAGAGCAAGACCCAAAAACATTAAGTCAGTGTCATTAAATGCACGTTAATATTTCAATTTCCCAAAATGTCACCCCAAAGTCTGTGTTGATATTGATTTTTAGTTTGATCTAGAAGTTATCAAGGTATATGTGTTATATTTGGATGGTTTACTCTTTAGTCTCTTTCAATGTAGAGAAGGAATATTTGCCCTTTTTTGTTATTTGTTTTCATGAAATTAAATTTTTTGTATTATAGAATCCAGGCCATTTTCTTGTCAAATGTCCTATATTTTAGTGTTGTTTCCTTTTTGTTTTTGATTTTTAATTTTAAGTGTGCTATTAATTGGCCAACTAATACATATAGAAAAAATTAGCCAGGCATGGTGGCACATGCCTGTAGTCCCAGCTACTCGGGAGGCTGAGGCAGGAGGATTGCTTCAGCCCAGGAGTTTGAGGTTGCTGTGAGCTAGGCTGATGCCACTCACTCTAGCCTGGGCAGCAAAGTGAGACTCTGTCTCAAAAAAAAAGAAAAGAAAATCATACAGTATTATCTAAGTACTCAAAATTAGATTCTTCATATGCTTTTCAGGTTTCTAGAATTCACAGAAAAATAGGAAAAGTAGATAAGTAATAATATTGTATAGTTTGGAAAGTGAGTCAATCTAAAATTTATGATGAAATAAAATAAATTTAATATCAAGATCCCAAAGATAATATAATAAACAGGTAAATTCATACCTCTGAATGCCTGGGAATTAGATCCAATACATCCCTTTTGCTCATGGACCAGTGGAATGTAAGCCCAGGGTTGGCATTGCTAAAGGAGAAAGGGGTCTGGGTACTTGTCACTCCCATGACATAAACTGGCATCTGAAAAGAAAAAGTGGTATTGTGCTACATATCCTGCCCAACTGGCATTATCAGAATAATGAACCCAGAACAGAGCCATCATACTGACCTCAGTAGCTGTGATGAGTCTAGTTGCAGCTGCAAGGATCCTAACAGCCCTTAGCTGAACAACTTCAATATGTACTTCATCCTGCTCAACAGGGTGAAGAGAAAGCATAGGCTAAGAGGAAGTTTCTGTGGGGTGGACAGAGATGCTTATCATAACTAGCTGATTGTTTTTGGCATTCAATAAAAAAAACCTTATACCATAGATATATTTATTTTTGTTCTTTAAAGAATTCCTTAAGGATAGGCACCATGTCTTACAACAATGCCAAGCACTCTGTGGGTTTTTCACTAAAGATTATATATTTCCCATGCCTGGTTAAGAGAATGCCAGGTGAGAGGGACTAAAAGAGTTTTCCTGGGCTGCTGACACCCCCCTCATCACTACCTCCTTCCCACCCCCTGTACCCCCAATATAGCTACTGTATAGAAGAGTAGAAGCACAGCAGAACAAAGGACCAATACCTGGGAAAACACAATGACTTTGCCAGTATCTTCATTTACTGTCTGGATGGTGCCATGGACGACAGCTGTACCAACCACCTTCCCTGTAATTTGTCCCCTCCTATTAACAACAGCCACGGTCTGATTACTGATGGAGAAGTGAATGATAGATTGGGGCTGGGGACCACCTTCTGACATTACCTGGAATTTAAACATACCATTGAATGCCTGGAACATGGGGGAGAAGTCACATCTCTTTTCTCAGTATTTTGTCCAAACAACTTGACTTTTCCTTCCCCCACTTGACTTTTCCTTCCCCTACTTGACTTCTTCTTCCCCAACTTGACTTCTTCTTCTCTCATTTCCCAAAAAGCCTATCCTACACCAACTCAAATGTAGAAGACCTGGAAGTGCTGAAAATGATCCATTGGATTCCAAGATATAGTTTATATGATGTACATCATGGATCAGGAAAAGAACTAATTTTATTTTATTTTTTTCATGTCAGAAAGGTGATGTACCAACATCCTAACAAAGTTTGAGGGAGGCACATCTCACACATGTGCATGAAAACCCAATCATCAGGCCAGGCGCGGTGGCTAAAGCCTGTAATCCTAGCACTCTGGGAGGCCTAGGCGGGCAGATTGCTCGAGGTCAGGAGTTCGAAACCAGCCTGAGCGAGAGCAAGACCCCGTCTCTACTATAAACAGTAAAAAATTGGCCAACTAATATATATAGAAAAAATTAGCCAGGCATGGTGGTGCATGCCTGTAGTCCCAGCTACTTGGGAGGCTGAGCCAGTAGGATTGCTTGAGCCCAGGAGTTTGAGGTTGCTGTGAACTAGGCTGATGCCATGGCACTCACTCTAGCCTGGGCAACAAAGCAAGACTCTGTCTCAAAAAAACCAAAACAAAAAAACCCAATCATCAGCTTATGAACTACAAAAGGATTTAATTTTTTTTTTTTTATCAGATTCAGTTGTACTTGGCGGAGAGTAGACAAAAGGAGGCCAATAGAAAGAAGGGTATGTGTGTATGTGTGTGTGAGTGAGATAAGGAGAAAAGGTAAATCTTATTTTTCTGCCTTTAAGATCACCTGCATCATGTTAGTTGGAATCAGTGTCATTTTCTCTGGAACAAGTCTGAATGGAGGAAACACCTTAAGGAGAAAACCAAAAGGACAACAATGACTAACTAGAGTCAATTTCACAATAAATGATTATGATCTCATTCTAAGGAAAACTCCTAATTATGCACAAAAAAGTTAAACACAAGGATAGGTATTTTTATTTATTTATATATAAAACTTTTATACATAATAGCAAAAAATTTAAAATTATTTAAGTGGGAATACTTAAATAAGTTATTATATATCTACTTGCTGGAGTAAAAGTGACTATTGAAATTATGTTTATAGCTAACTTTCTTTCAAACATATATAAAAATAGAGAGAACAGAGTAATGAAATCTCAGGCACTCATAACCAGCTTCAACAATTATCAACACGTAGCCAAAAATTAGATTTTAATGATAGAAGAAAATACTCTTGATATAAGATGAAGATGAAAAAATCAATATGATTTATTCATGTTAAAATAAGCAGGGTGGGAGCTGGGTGCGGTGGCTCACGCCTGTAATCCTAGCACTCTGGGAGGCCGAGGCAGGCGGATTGCTCAAGGTCAGGAGTTCAAAACCAGCCTGAGCAAGAGTGATGACAGTCTCTACATAAAATAGAAAGAAATTAATCGGCCAAATAATATATATAGAAAAAATGAGCCGGGCATGGTGGCACATGCCTGTAGTCCCAGCTACTCAGGAGGCTGAGGCAGTAGGATTGCTTGAGCCCAGAAGTCTGAGGTTCCTATGAGCTAGGCTGACGCTACGGCATTCACTCTAGCCTGGGCAACAAAGCGAGACTCTGTCTCAAAAAAAAAAAAAAAAAAAAAAAAAAGTTAAGGCGGGCGCGGTGGCTCACTGTATCCTAGCACTCTGGGAGGCCGAGGCCGGGATTGCTCAAGGTCAGGAGTTCGAAACCAGCTGAGCAAGAGCAAGACCCGTCTACTATAAATAGAAAGAAATTAATTGGCCACTATATA